TATGCTACAAGAAGAATTGAAGAGAAAAAAGTGATATCTTAGCAGGTTCCAATACAATTCCAGAATTCAACTTTTGCCAAAAAATAAAAAAAAATAAAAATATATATATTATTGTCAATTATCTAATTATAAATCTTATCAACTATAAAATGTGTTGCGCATTTATGTATCCAATTCTGAAAATCATTCAATAATTACTGAAAAATGCAATTATTCACTGAATTACATTTTATTAAAATTTTCATAAAATTAAAACATACCTTTTTGTGAAATCTATTGATAAAATATTTGCAGTAAATATTTTTAACAAATATCTTGTAAAATTATGAATGATTTTGTAATAAGATTTTTAAATAAATCAGAAGTAGAAAGTTATTTGCTGGTTAAGATCCATCAATATTCATTGGATCTTCAAGCAAAAGTAAACAAAACTTTAATCTTTCTCACCTTTGGAAATGTCTTTCAATATCCATGGATGAATGAAAAGCTTCCATAAATAACAAATCAATAAAAACACAGTGCAAAAGCAAAAGAACAAATACTGCCACTTGGGTAGCATTTGATTAGCAACACATTTCCACACAATCAAATAATGAAAATTATTTGCAAAAGGAAAAGCAGACAGCCTCTGAGTATGTCCTGTTGCTAGTATCGAAATTTTGGTAATGAGTCGCAATTATTTGCTCTGCAAATAAAGTTAAACACCAGACAAAACAGACAGACTGACACAATTTCTTTCTCTTTCTGTGATGTATCAAAACTTTTTTCTTTTTTTTAAAGTAAAACCAAAAAGTAGCAATGACTGAATTGAAAGAGAAAAATTCTGTTTAAAGTGGTGATGAATACTAACAAACTAAGTAGTGGGTGTCATGTTTTTGTTTCTTCAATTGGTTGAAAGTTTTTTTTGTTTTTTTTTTCTCTCTGTAGTTTTTCAGGGATTGAGAATGAAGAAATCAGAAAATGGTAAATAAATTATGAGCAAAATATCTGATCTAATGCAAACATAGCAAATACATAAAATGCCCAACATCAAAGAACCCTTTTATCTATTTTTTTATACAGTTTGGCACCTGAAGAGAACCAGAAACCAAAAAAAATGCAAACTGCTATTTCAGTGGGATAGAAACCAAGACAGGGTTGAATTAATAAGCAGCTTTCCATAGGTGTCAACCTTTACCTTGGGCAAATGTTACAACAGCTATCATCATCCTCATCTTAAATCCAGGTTTTCCATTGATGAAATTATATGTGAATTTTTTTTTCTTTTTTTGATCTCAGTATAAGAGTTAGTAAAAGCAAAAAGCTTTTGCCAAATACAATTTGGCTTACATTATTTCAAATGTACACCATCCATATTTGTCTAACCAGTGTCATATGATAACAGCAATTGATTTTCCCACTGGATGCATCAAAAATATTCAATAGCATCAAAGATTATATAAATTAATTGAAGTATAGATCATTATTGAAAATAGAATGGGAATAGGTATGCCTTTCTGCTACAATGAACATAAATTTCACATTATGCTTAAAACTCACTTTGTACCTTTTTGAGGAACAGTCTTTGTGTTTGACACTAGTATATTATTTAAAACTTCTCTCTTTATCCGTAGGGTATGGATCTTTTATACAATATTTTCTGCTTGCACAGCACCCATGTGCAGATCCACAAACATTTTACAATGCTAAGGAAAAAGAAAATCATTAACAAGTCAATTGAACAGAACAGTTTTAAAAAAGTTATGTTCTTCAAACATTTGACAGTAATGCCTCTCCCAATTAAATTTCATATGGTTTCAGAATTGGTTTTCTTCAAATTCATTTTGAATTCAAATGCTGATTAGAAGACTATATACCAGCAAAACATCAAATGTATCAATGTATGTCCATCATAGCTGTTTCCACAATCAAAATCCAAAAGGAGATAATTCATTCCAATGTCTTTTGATTTGTTTATCACTGTACAACAATGCTTCTTACAGTGTGTCCACTCAGTATATCCATTGGAGATATTGCCTAATCAAACTTTGGTAGATTATACAAAATCAATGGTGGTCTACCGACAATACACTGAGAAAATAATGACAATTTTTGACAAGTTTATGTTTCATTCCATGGAGTAGTAATATACTTTTACATTTGTCATTTAAAAAGTGCAGTAAAGTCTTTTATAAGCTCAATAGAAAATAATTCTTAGAACTGATGTTTCTTGTGTAAAGTTCAACTTAAGATTGACTATTTAATCATGGAATATTACTGTCCAGTTGTGCTTCACAATCTATTAGAGACGCAATGTTCCCATTATGCTTTTATAATCAAAACCAAAGAGAATAAAATAAAATCCACAATTTAATACAGACTAATATCTATACTTTTCATCAAATTTCTTAGTTAAGTGCCAGTTTTTAAGCATAGCATTTAGTAACAGGTTGAAGTTACAAAATTTTTTATACTATGTTCTATATGAAAAGAAATAAAACAAGAAACACATTCTAATTCAGACAATATAAGCTAAAAGCAAAAACAAGTATACTCTCCCAGACAGTGAATGTAAATTATTCTCCAAGTATCTACTAACGTGGATTTCATTAACAAAATAAAATAAAAAATAACAACATGTAATTTCTTTAAAAAAAAAAAAAAAAAAAAAAAAAAGAAAAAAAAATGGTGGGTGGGGGGTTTAAGAGAAGTTGTTACTGTCGTCATGTAATGACAGCAGGACAGACAATCTGCTAGGGAAAAAAAAAAAGAGACATAATGGAAGATTGGAATAAAATGACTTGTATTACTCAAGGTATTTAGTCATGGGCTTGACTGCCAGAAAATACACAAAAGAAAAAAGTTCCAAAAAACAAGATTAACCATTACAACTACACCATATCAATATTAGAGAAACCAACATTATTTTTTTGTAAGTGTTCTAGCTCCTAATAAAATTATCCCTAGATCTTATTGAAAGAATAAGGTTACCTTGTGATACTCCAGTAATTGTCAGCATCATTAATTCTTTATTGGCAGATTTTATTTAGTCAAATCCATTTTAAATATCAAACTAAATTAGGCAAAAAAAAAAAAAAAAAAAAAAAAAGCAGCTCATGATTCATTTGAACCTATCTTAAGTATACAATGAAAAACCTTATTTTCCTGTAATTATTTTGTGGTGGGGGATGATGGTAGACTAAAATAGAGATTGAGGAGGAAAAAAGAAAGGAAATAATAAAAGCTAATGAGATTTACATGTAACCTGGTTTGGAATGGAAATAATTACTTATTTCCTATGAGTGACAGACATAGGTGTTTGAATCTAAAAGTTAACATTTTGAATGCTAATTTCAGACCAACAGACCCTTAGCATAACAATCTTCCTTTGCTTTGCTTCCATCTTCCTTTGCTTTGTAATCTTAGTAAATATAAAACAAAGAAAAATACAAATGCTAGGTTAAAAAAAGAATGATTTCATTTTATCAAAAAGAACCTTGTCAGGACAATGTGTTTACAAATTACGTTAAACAAGGTATACTTAAAAGAAAATGACATTGCAGTAATTTTAATATTTCTTCAACATATCCAACAAATCTTGATTTTTACAAATAAAGTAATCCTTACTAGATCTGACCCAAAAGACATGCCTATCCTTTGTATATACAAGTAGATAAATTATAAACAAATGAACAGAGATCTATTGAACTACTTCTACAGAGAACTGATTTAAAGTTATCTTAAAATAAGAAATTAATTTTCTCAATTTCTCATCAGTGTGCCAATATATGTTTGCTATTAAATAAAGCATACAAAGTTAGTCCCATTGATTTTACAAGCCATAGCCTAAGGCAAGGGTTGGCAACCTACAGCCCATGGGCCGGATCCGGCCTGTGAAGGCATTTTGACCGGCCCGCGAGCCTGATTACCAATGACTATTTTTAACATGAGAGACGACCTTCAAATGAAATTTGTTATATGTCATTTTCCATAGAATGTCTACACATCTCAGTGCACTAAAAATATTAGACTATCTGCCAGTTATCTTTCATGAGACTTATTTTACCAAGTTGCATTGCCTACGTTTAATGTCAAATAATGGATACATATTTGTTATGACCCTTGGCTACATTAAAAGATAACAGAAGTGAAAGAAACGATAAAGTGAAAGAGGCCAAGGAGGGACTGACATGTGATTTTGACGTTCCTTGAGGAAAAGTAATTTTTGTTAGGTGTTTTTTTAATTTTAGATTTACTTTTGTTTTTCTGACTTCTCAATGTTTATTTTCATTATGGTTTGAAATATTTAGGTTGACAGGGGTCTGCATATGTAATTTTCCTTAATTTTTCATTAATGTCCTTCGTCCAGCCCGCAACCCGTCATTATAACACAATGCGTCCAGCGGGGTCGAATGAGTTGCCAACCCCTGGCCTAAGGGGTTTAAAAACGGCAGTATTGTCTTGTGCATTTCAGTAATATGAAAACAGCTGGTTAATTTCAAAATATCCTGGTTCCAAATATCAGTTTTACTAAAGTTTTACCCAAAATATCTTGACATGTAGATACATAGCAAAGACTGAAAATATGAAACTTGTATGCAGGGGTGGTGAAAAGCTCTTAGCCAAACCCACTTTTAATTGAGATATTATGTACTTAATGTTTGTTCAAGCAATTGTGTCTATATAAAGTATGATCATATATGACTAGTAAATTGTCACAATAATTGGAAAAATACATTCTTATTTAAAGAAAAACATTTTTAAACTTTTGATAACATTACAAGTATTCTTTAATGTATTAAAAACAATAAGAAAGCAAATATGAAAATATAAAATCTCAGGTGATCTATCAGTTACTTTCCACATTGATAATTCAATTTTTAACAATTTTTCATGGTAAAATTTTAAAATAGTCATTGTGGTTGCTATACAAATGCACAAACACTGTCAAGTTCTTGAAATCTTTTTTTCGGGATATGAAAAGAAATAAACAATGATAATTTAATAACACGCACACTTGCCTTGATTAGAAAAGGTAGAGTCCACATTCCTATGAGATGACTTTGGCATTGGAGCCTGTTTACTGGAGTCTGGCTGCACAGATTTAGCCTGTAATAAAAACAAAAAATAGAAGGAAAAACAATAAAAACCTGTGACTAATGCAACAAATATTCTCTCAGAAAAGTAATAAATAATTTTATTTATTTAAAAAATTAAGTTTATATATGCATATGCAAGATTATTAATATTTAATACAAATTAATTATACTTTTACTTCCTCTATAGCTAGTTGGGCTTTGGGTTGCTTCTTAACAGATACACCTTTTATCAACAATTGAAGCACAACATAGATTGTTAGAAACACATTTAAAAGTATTAAAAGTCAGAACGAAAATTTTAAGATATTAACAGTATCTATTTTAGAGATTAGTAAATAGGTAACAAATAATTAAAATCTCAATAGTACCACAAAACATTGGTATTTGGTCATCACTGTCATTAAACAATGCAAAATTTCCTTTTCTCAAATATCGACTCAAACTTTATATATTCCAAATTGGTATAACCTATTTTGCCAATATAAAGACATCATATTATATATATATATATATATATACATATATATATATATATATGAGAGAGAAATAGTTTCCTCACACACATGTAGACTGTTAAAAATGAAAGTTCTGGTTTTATATAATACTTAGGTCATAAAATAATTACATGCTTAACAATGGCTACTTCATTGAATGCAGCTGAATTAAGCTTTTAAAAGTTATAATTTTTTGTACATAACATAGAAATGAATAGGTAGCCTATATCAATCAGGCAGCCTTTCCTTCATCTTTTGTACTGTATTTCATAATGAGAATACAACTTTTAAATCTTAAAGTGCTGAACATTGAATCAATGTATTATTTTGATACTTTCAGTTTTAGTTTGTCCTTACAAGAGTGTTATAATGATTATAGCCATGGGTTTAAAACAATACAAACACAAAATCTGCAGCAGAATTGCAACCTTGTTTCCTTTGAATCATTGTAGGATTTTAAAAGTATGTCTATAAATGGACATTGACCAATATGCATCAATTTGTTGATCAAAATTTTAAAGTTCCTAAAAGAAAGTTACTTATTTTGTTGATTTTGATAGGGGGGGGGACAAATGTTAAGTGACCTACTGGATTGATTGGAAACAGCAAAATGGTTTCCATTTTATTTTTTGCAATTAATCTTATTTTACAGTCAGCCTAGAAAAAAAAATAACATCCCTTGCCATAGACTGTTCTATTAACATTTTCATGTCCTCATTAATGATGAGAGAGAGAGAGAGAGATAGTAGTCCTGTCCATATTTCTCCTCACAATCATCCAATATAAACATGATTAAATTTACTTAATGTTATATTTATTGAGAATCCATTGAGAACCTATCAATGCAATTTCAAGTATTTCTTAACAGTAGGATTTTTACATTACTTTTCCTTTAAAGTTATTGATTTTAAGGAAACTTTAATAATAATTTTTAGAATTTATTAGAAAATGATTAAATTTTAAAAAAAAAAAAAAACAATAATTCCCTGTATTTGTTCTATTAAAAACTATTTCAGGTCTTGAAATAAGGTATTCCAATTTTTAATGGTGTTAAATTACAAATGAATCCTTTATATAAATCTACCTTTGTGTTTCTTTCTATATTAACAGGAGTCACCAAAGGAGTTAATATTGATCCTTGGGTCTAGGTGGTAATAAATGCCTGGAGTAAAGGGAAAGGGATAAATCATGATAATTTATGACTAAAACTCACCAATTTCCAATCAATTATCAATGCTCTTGCTACTGCTCATCAAACACATCTTCCTTCACGTTAATGATGTCAACCAAATTCAATTAAAAGATTTAATTTATTATTGAGAAACAATAATGAAGGAAAAGGGTGAAGAAATTTCTTGAATTAAATAAAAAATAATTATTAGTGATATTGTTTAACATTTCGATTGTGGAGGTGGGTTAATGATTCAAAGATTCCATAAAGGAGTCAATAGTTTAAAATGTTTGAAGACCCCTTGTCTATAACAAAAAGTTTTTTCTTCGTATTTTAATACTTTATTTATATATATATATTCCCAGTACTGAATAAAATTTGGAATATTTCCCTCTCTTTACTGCATGGAGAAAAAATAACATGAAAAGGGCCAAGATAAAGGATTTTGTACTGTACTATTAACAGGCTCAGAATTTTTTTTTTTTTTTTTTAAATCACATTTGTATATTTTTTGCTCTATTGAAGATTATGTTAAAACAGATAAATAAAATTACCCAAGAATGGTCTTGAAAATTATTTTAACTCCTATGTAATATTAACACATACACAAAAGCAAATACCTTTGAACAAATTCAACATTGAAACTCTGCATCAAAACGACAAAATGACTACATCTTTCTTTCATTGCAATGAAAATTTTATAAAAAATATAACATTTTCATATTCTGTGAAATAACTCCATATGATACATAATAATTATAGAGGGGGATTTGAGAGTTTGGGATTAGTGCTTTAAAACTGTGATGGAAAATCACATGGTGATCACTTTAAATACATGGTTAATAATAGGGGTGGGGTACCAAAATTCAAGACATCATGTATATCATAGTACTTTCAAGGAAATTCAATAAAACAAACCAGTCTCAAAATTTGTAATTTTTGAATGTATTAAAATATTTGGGGGCTGTTTTAGTGAAACACCACCAGTATATTTAATTGGTTACATTCTCATGCCCAATATGCCTGGATTATGGCGACAAATCATGCAGCTGGTGTATTTGAGACAACTCTTTAAGCAAATAAGCTAAGGGTACAAAAGTACTGGACACATGGCTGGTAGATGGTGTCAGTTTAGTTTTGGAATTTGAATAAGTACCCAAGCATAAAATAGTGGTACTAAATGATGTTTCAGCTATTTTGACCAAGTAACTGTGTATCAATTTCCTGATACCCATTTAAATTTTATTATTTGATCAAGTTTTTGATCTTCGATCGAGTATCCATCACCAACTGTTTCCTCATTCCATACGTTTTGGGAGGGTAGCTTTTTCCAATCTTAAATTAAATAAATGAAAATAACAGTTAAAGCTGTGTGACTTCATTTCACCATTACAATGGGTAAAATGTCACTATTTTCTAGTCATGCAAATATATGATTGCATATGGTGCTTGCTATCATACCACTTTTCCTTTGTCCCAGTTTCACCTACACCATTCCATAAGGAAAAACTTGCCTTTCTTATTTTATTGATTGTATTGAATTTAACTGCCTTTATTTTGATTGACAGCAAGAATTAAAAACATGGAAAATGTTGGTACTTTTATTACACATATATCAAAATGCTTTCAGAACTTTAATATACCCCACTACAGTACTAAATCTCATGTCTTTGATTTTGCTACTGGTAACCTCTTTTTAATATATACCAAGTTCAGCATAAATATTTTAAATATATAAATATATATTCATAAAAATAGTTTCAAATGAAAAAGATGGCAAAAGAGCTGGATATTTTGGATAGGTTGCTAAGGAGAATTGTGAAAGAGGACTTAGAGCTAAAACCATAATTCAACAATGACAACTACTCTCAAGTGCCTCAAAACAAAAACTGCTTGGCAGAGGAAAAAAATGTTGGAAGAAATACAGCATGTTGCAGAAAAAGTCTTTGGTCGAACAAGAAGTTTTTCACTGTGGAGGCTGTGGTCAACTACCAAAATGATAGGATTTATACCAGTTTACCAGAAAACATCCCAAATGGTGTCAGAACACATTTCAAGCAATAAAAACCAACTGAGTCATGGTTTGGGCGACTGTTGCTTCTGATGGCTTAAAATTGCCCTTGATGTTCAGTGAAGAAAGAGTGAAAGTGAATAGCAAAGTTTACAAGCAAATGTTGGCGAGAGATGTGTTGCCTTGATGCTACGTTTGGAAGTCACCATGTCTTCACTCAAGATAGAACTCCTGCACACCTGGGCAATTTAAAGCAGAACTGGTGCGAGAGGCATTTCCATGAACAAGCGAATCTGGTCCGACATTAATCCTATGGACTTTACAATACGGTCCCATATTGGGGAGCAATATTTCACATATCTCATGCTCAAGTATGTTGAAAAAAGTTCTGATATTGAATCTGCTGTACATCAACTTTGTGGTAGTTTTACTCATGTACAGTCATACATCAGTTATCTGGAAGGTGTGTAAATGCCTCGTACATGGACTCAGTGGTAAATCCTATTGGTGGGTGCAGTGCAGGGTAATACACCTTCTTTTGATGCGACATTGTGTCAATACATGGCTTCCATTGTTGAGCATTGTTTCTGCATAGCAATTCATTTAACACTGTAATGAAATCATTTAACTATTTCATTGCCAGAGGAGATATATAATCAGCAAAAACCGATGTAGATCCCCCAACCTACTCTTCTAACTCTGAACAGTTTACTGTAGAATGTGATGGTTTTGCCAGTGAGTATTTCAGCAGGAGGGCCCTGTTTGAAAAATAGGGCCTTTAAATAGTCAATCACCCTGGCTGAATCTTGTCAATGTAGCTGTCGCCAAAAAGTGAATCAAGTGGAACCACAATCTATTAGTGCCAGGTAATGTTTGCCATTATAATGAGTAATGTCCCTCCCCCACATCAGTTTTCCCCTCAGCCATTATGATGGAGATGATTGACTAACATTCCTGGCATTCACTGACTACTGCCTTAACTCTTGCTTTTGAAAGTCCTAGTGACAACATCCATGATCATATTTCTAGGGACAGCTCATCCCAACCAAACATAACCACAGTTGCTCTGCATTTAATGAAGACAATTGCAATACAGAGCCATCCACAAATAGGAAGTATCCTACAAATTTTCTACATAGTGAAAATACTTTTCTGCGTGTCACAATTTCAGGTCCTTTTGGTATTTCACTCCCACACTTCCAATAAAGGTTGTCCTGCTCTCCCCAGACTTGCAAGCCAAGTACTTGGGCATTTTTCTCTAATTATCCCAGGTCATTGCATGCTAGACCAAAGTTAGCGAGATGTTGCCTTACACATGCTGCAGATGCCATATT